GTATATATATACCACATCTTCTTTATCCATTCATCTGTCGATGGACATCTTGGCTCTTTCCACAGTTTGGCTATTGTGGACATTGCTGCTATAAACATCAGGGTGCACGTACCCTTTCGGATCCCTACTTTTGTATCTTTGGGGTAAATACCCAGTAGTGCAATTGCTGGATCATAGAACATCTCCTCCTTTTAGGGCCATGGAGTCAAAGGGGAAAGGGACAGACTCTCTCTCTGTTCTTCAGAACTTCCCTAACACCCAAGGAGACAGAGAAACTCCAGGCTGCAGCAGCTCCTATTGGTACAGTGTGAGCTAGTAGAAGCATGGGCAGGAGTTTGTAGGAAACGCCATTGCTCTGTGCGACTAGAAGGCGAGTTCCCAGGTATGAATGGCCGGAGTGGACGGGGGACCAGGACTCCCAGGGGGTCTGGGGCTTGCTGGCTGGCTCCCAGCCCCCTGCTCCAGGCATACCGTGGTGTCGCCCGCACCAGGCCATGCCTGAGAGCTGGGCATTTGCAGCAAGATGATAGCACAGCATGACGTTGAGGGAGAATGCCCAGCTGTGCTTGGCCCTCCTCCCCTCCAAGCCTCAGTTTCCCCAGAGGTCACATGGTGGGATTGCAATACTCAACTCTTGTCTGTGGGAGAATGTGAGAACAGCGGTGGGCATTTTCTGCAGACTTGGGTGTGGCCGTCTTGCACATCAAATATGTGGCCCTGTGTCACTCTGAGTCCTGCTTTTGGTAAGAAGGTCCTGGTGGTCAGCTCTGCCCTGGGGCTCCTTCATCTGAGGCCTCCCACGAAGGGATCATGTGTACCAGATGGCTTCAGGCTCGGGCCCATCTCCCTCATGCTCACTGTGCTGTCTTGGGAAGGGGTTTAACTCTGCATAGCTGGATGCCTATACTCACAGGGTGTTATGGGCTGAATTGTGTCACCCTAAAATCCCTATGTTCATGTCCTAATCCTCGGTACCTCCAAATATGACTGTCTTTGGACATAGGTCTTTAAAGAGATAATTAAGGTAAAATGAGGCCATTGGGGTGGGCTCCAGTCCAAGAGGACTGGTGCCTTTATAAGAAGAGGGGATTAGGAGAGGCGCCTGGGTAGCTCAGTAGCGGAAGCGTCTGCCGTTGGCTCAGGTCATGATCCCAGGGTCCTGGGATGAAGTCCTGCATCGGGCTCCCTGCTCAGCGGGGAGCCTGCTTCTCCCTCTCCCCCCGCTCATTCTCTCTCTCTAGAAAATAAATATAATCTAAAAAGAAGAAGAAGAAGAGGAAAGAAGAAGAAGAAGAAGAAGA